GACGATAATCACATAAGAGTGATGGAATATATGATATAATACGATCTTGGTTCACTTTGTTTACACTGATCCATATCGTATGTTTATTCGTTGCCTTTTTGACACTTTCGTGATTTTTTTGCCGATTAAATCAATTGACTATTTAACTTTCACGTGTCATTGTTCATGATTACTAACAAGGCGTGATATTATGATGTTAATGTACATGCACTACTAGGTAAGCTCCCTTCAGAGTGAATGGTTTAAAGGATAACAACTATTCATTTTGGCCAAAAAATAATTTTCCTGGGGTAAACGACAAATTTCCATACTTAACAACAGTTAATAAATCCATTTCTACACTTGAAGTTAGTCCCTAGTTTTTTCTTAAAAGTTTTTACAGAGTATAACCATCTATGGAGGTCACGTGACGTGATGTCAAGCACAAATTCCAGAATAATTACGTTAACAGCCGAATTGGGGGTTAAATAGAATATATTTTATTTTTATGAGTTGTTTACAATGTATTTACTGTGAAATATAAATCTCATACAAAGGATTGTTATCCCTTTAAGCTAAACCTGCATGTCTACGGATTTACAGTCGCCAGAGGACCGAAATGCACTGGTCCATTCCGTTAAGATGACACTTATACCAACTGAGTGAGCTGAAGACCATGGTGCAGTCCCGCCGGAAAGACCCCTTACCAAAAAGCTGCATGGTCTCCCAACCCTGCCCCGTATGGTCGAACAATGGAGGCCGCATGATAATTACATGGTAGGGGAATCGGCAAGTAATCATTATCGGACAAGCAAATAACGTGAATGTATTGTTTTCTGATTTCATTGTTTGTTCTCTGTTGTCGTGACTCTGTGGTTGCGTGCGACGTTGTATATGTGCGCACGTTTGTCTTATGTCGCTTATTCTTCTTTGTTACGCTAAAATGATACATACGTTACCGATACGAACGTTACCATGAAGCGTGTAAATATTTATTCTGTTTTCATTGGTTTTCTTTCGATTTGTGGGCCAACACATATGTCTTTTACTTGTGTTTTATTAAAATAGTGTTGGGGCACAAAAGGAAAGACAACCAGTGAAAATAGAATAAAAAATATTCACACGCTTTATGGTAACGTATGTATCATTTTCACGTAACAAAGAAGAATGAGCGACGTAATGACATGCGTGCGCACATATACAACGTCGCACGCAACCACAGAGTCGCGATAACAGAGAACAAACAAGGAAATCAAAAAACAATACCTTCACATTATTTGGTAACGTGTGTATCGGTGACGTATGTATCATATATACAATTTCAACAAACGGTTTCAAGTCAAGTTACCTTTACTTGCCATACTTTTCCTTCTTATTGTATACCGTAGGAATAAGGCGTTTGCTCACAAAACGGACAACAAACAATAACAAATAAAAGTATTTACACGCCACATGGTAACTATTTTAATTGGTTGTCTTTCGTTTTGTGCGCCAACACTTATGTCTTAATGTTACATTAAAATGAATGAAAACGAGGCAAATAAGATTTTTTGCTTTCAACTATCTGTGAAAGTTGTTCATATGATACATGCGTTACCGATATACACATGGCTAAATAATATGAATGTGTTGTTTTCTGATTCCATTGATTGTTTTCTGTTGTCACGGCTTTGTTAGTGCACGCGACTGTGTGTATGTGCGCACATTTGTACGTCGTTCATTCTATTTGTTACGTCAATATGATATATACGTTACCGATACATGCGTTACCATGAAGCGTGTAAATATTTATTTATTCTATTTTCATTGGTTCTTTCGTTTTGTGGGCCAGCACTTAGGTTTAATGCAACATTAAAAGGAAAGAAAACGAGAAAAATAAGAGTTCTTGCCTTCAACTATCTGTGAGAATTGTCCATTTGATTCATACGTTACCGATATGTACGTGACCAAATAATATGAAGGTGTTGTTTTCTGATTCCATTGATTGTTTTCTGTTGTCACGACTTTGTGAGTGGGTGTGAGTTTGTACAAGTGATCACAACGTTTTACGGCCCTCATTCTTATTTGTTATGTAAATATGATACATAGACGTATTCTTTTTATGACTTCATTGTTTTTTCTCTGTTGTCGTGACTCTGTGGTTGCGTGCGACGTTGTATATATGCACACGTTTGTTTTACGTCGCTTATTCTTCTTTGTTACGCTAAAATGATACATACGTTACCGATACATACGTTACCATGAAGCGTGTAAATATTTATTCTATTTTCATTGGTTTTCTTTCGATTTGTGGGCCAACAGTTATGTCTTTTATTTGTGTTTGATTAAAATAATATTGGCGCACAAAAGGAAAGACAACCAATGAAAATAGAATAAAAAACATTCACACGCTTTATGGTAACGTATGTATCATTTTCACGTAACAAAGAAGAATGAGCGACGTAATGCGCAACCACAGAGTCGCGACAACAGAGAACCATCAAGGAAATCAGAAAACAATACCTTCACATTATTTGGTAACGTGTGTATCGGTGACGTATGTATCATATATACAATTTCAACAAATGGTTTCAAGTCAAGTTACCTTTACTTGCCATACTTTTCCTTCTTATTTTAATGTAGTATACCGTAGGAATAAGGCGTTTGCTCACAAAACGGACAACAAACAATAAGAAATAAAAAGTATTTAGACGCCACATAGTAACTTTTTTCATTGGTTGTCTTTCGTTTTGTGCACCAACACTTATGTCTTAATGTTACATTAAAATGAATGAAAACGAGACAAATAAGATTTTTTGCCTTCAACTAGCTATGAAAATTGTTCATATGATACATGCGTTACCGATATACACATGGCTAAATAATTTGAAGGTGTTGTTTTCTGATTCCATTGATTATTTTCTGTTGTCACGGCTTTGTTAGTACACGCGACTGTGTGTATGTGCGCACATTTGTACGTCGTTCATTCTATTTGTTACGTCAATATGATATAAACGTTACCGATACATGCGTTACCATGAAGCGTGTAAATATTTATTTATTCTATTTTCATTGGTTGTCTTTCGTTTTGTGGGCCAGCACTTAAGTTTTAATGCAACATTAAAATGAAAGAAAACGAGAAAAATAAGATTTCTTGCCTTCAACTATCTGTGAAAATTGGCCATTTGATTCATACGTTATCGATATGTACGTGACCAAATAATATGAAGGTGTTGTTTTCTGATTCCATTGATGGTTTTCTGTTGTCACGACTTTGTGAGTGGGTGTGAGTTTGTATATGTGCGCACATTCTTATTTTTTATGTAAATATGATACATAGACGTATTTTTTTCTGACTTCATTTTTTTTTCTCTGTTGTCGTGACTCTGTGGTTGCGTGCGTCGTTGTATATGTGCGCACGTTTGTTTTACGTCGCTTATTCTTCTTTGTTACGCTAAAATGATACATACGTTACCGATACATACGTTACCATGAAGCGTGTAAATATTAATTCTATTTTCATTGGTTTTCTTTCGATTTGTGGGCCAACAATTATGCCTTTATTTGTGTTTTATTAAAATAGTGTTGGCGCACAAAAGTAAAGACAACCAATGAAAATAGAATTAAAAATACTCACACGCTTTATGGTAACGTATGTATCATTTTCACGTAACAAAGAAGAAGAATGAGCGACGTAATGACATGTGTGCGCACATATACAACGTCGCACGCAACCACAGAGTCGCATTGACAGAGAACAAACAAGGAAATCAGAAAACAATACCTTCACATTATTTGGTAACTTGTGTATCAGTGACCTATGTATCATATATACAATTTCAACAAACGGTTTCAAGTCAAGTTACCTTTACTTGCCATACTTTTCCTTCTTATTGTAATGTAGTATACCGTAAGAATAAGGCGTTTGCTCACAAAACGGACAACAAACAATAAGAAATAAAAAGTATTTACACGCCACATGGTAACTATTTTCATTGGTTGTCTTTCGTTTTGTGCTCCAACACTTATGTCTTAGTGTTACATTAAAATGAATGAAAAAGAGACAAATTAGATTTTTTGCCTTCAACTATCTGTGAAAATTGTTCATATGATACATGCGTTACCGATATACACATGGCTAAATAATATGAATGTGTTGTTTTCTGATTCCATTGATTGTTTTCTGTTGTCACGGCTTTGTTAGTGCATGCGACTGTGTGTATGTGCGCACATTTGTACGTCGTTCATTCTATTTGTTACGTCAATATGATATAAACGTTACCGATACATGCGTTACCATGAAGCGTGTAAATATTTATTTATTCTATTTTCATTGGTTGTCTTTCGTTTTGAGGGCCAGCACTTAAGTTTTAATGCAACATTAAAATGAAATAAAACGAGAAAAATAAGACTTCTTGCCTTCAACTATCTGTGAAAATTGTCCTTTTGATTCATACGTTACTGGTATGTACGTGACCAAATAATATGAAGGTGTTGTTTTCTGATTCCATTGATTGTTTTCTGTTGTCACTACTTTGTGAGTGGGTGTGAGTTTATACGGCCTAACGTTTTACGGCCCTCATTCTTATTTTTTATGTAAATATGATACATAGACGTATTTTTTATGATTTTATTGTTTTTTTCTGTTGTCCTGACTCTGTGGTTGCGTGCGACTGTGTATATGTGCGCACGTTTGTTTTACTTGCTTTTTCTTGTTTGTTACGCTAAAATGATACATACGTTACCGATACATACGTTACCATGAAGCGTGTAAATATTTATTCTATTTTCATTGGTTTCCTTTCGATTTGTGGGCCAACACTTATGTCTTTTATTTGTGTTTCATTAAAATAGTGTTGGCGCACAAAAGGAAAGACAACCAATGAAAATAGAATAAATATTTACACGCTTCTTGGTGGCAAGAATAAATCTAACCTGAACTGATTGTGAATTATTGTGAGATGACATGTACCAAACAGTGAAGTTAACCCGAAATAATGAAATCCAGCTTTTTAAATTAATTTTCTTTGATACTTTTAAGTATGAAGAAGGCTTTTGGTTTAGTTTGGAGGTTAGATTTTAAACTTTAACTATTTTTATCGTTTTGAATTACATAGGTGCAGAGTTAATATCAAACAACGAAAGAGAAACATTTGTATCAAAATTAAGGCTTATTTCTTTAATAATATTTTGCGCGTGTTTAATTATAATTCTTCCTACTTTATGTGCTGCACAACCGGGTGTAGATGGGAGAGATCCTGTATGCAAATATAGACTGAATAATATTAAAGATATGGCCTACAAAATGTTAATTACTCAAACAATTGACAAGTCTTTTTGGAAAAAATGCATTCCATCCATGAACAAAGCAAATAGAAATATCAAGAGCTACTAAAAAAATAAAGTTCAGTTGTGTTTATAGTATGTATACAGCAATAACGGTTTAAAGCCTAATAAATAAGTATGAGTAGTGTGCATTTGATCTTTCATAAATTCATTTATTCAACCCTATGTGAATTCAATCAATTCATAGCTAAAATGTACGCGAAAGTTGCTTTCATTACCGAACCTTTTTGGTAAAGTCACTTTTAAAAATCATTGTTGGCTAGTTCTTATACTTAAAATCTCCGTATCAGGGTACAGTCAGACGAACAAGAGCGTGCCACAGGGAAATTTGGCAGCGGAGAGAGGAATGATAGAGGAGACTTACTGATTGAATGGGCGACAGCAAATAACATGAAGATCATGAATACCGTCTACAAGAAGAAGATATCAAGAAGATGGACATGGCAAAGCCCAGATGGAAGTACAAGAAACGAAATTGATTACATCATGACAAACAGACCGAACATCTTCACGGATGTGAAAGTGCTAAACAGACTGGATGCGGGCAGTGACCACAGAGCAGTAATGGGAGTGATTAGGATCAATGTCAGGAAGGACAGACAGAAATGCCTGTCAAATCCATCAAAGAGACCTAGTATTGAGCAACTGGTCATAAAGAAAGACGAGTTCCAAATCCTCCTAAAGAACAGATTCAGTGCACTAGAGCTAGAAGGTGAAGATGGAGTAGATGAAATGAACGATAGAATAACGACCACCATCCTAGAATGTGCATCAGAAGTCGCACCGGCCAGTAAAATGAAGGACTCAAAGCTCTCAACAGAAACGAGGT